CGGTGCAGCAGCAGTGGCTGGCGTGCAAGCAACAGGGGCGTGATTGCAGGATCAGGCGCGCAGAGGGGATATCTGGGAGCAGAAGGCACGGTCAAGCGCAGGAGCAAGGCTCGGGTGCAAGGCAGGTAGGGGCGTGGAGTGCTGATGATGGCTCGGGCGTGTAGGGGGCATCATTGCCGGCAGTGAGGCGCAGAGGAGGGGCGTGGGTTCGGTGCAGGGAGAGGCATGATTGCCGGTGATGGGGAGGGGTTGATTTGGCGCAGAAGGCATGGGATTTGGGCGCAGAAGCAAGGGAGGTGCAGGAGCATGATGGCTGGCAGTGAGGGGTGATGATGGCTAGCTCGGTGCAGGGCAGAGCAAAGGGGATCTGGGCTGCAGAGAGCAGAGGAGGCTGATTCGGTGCAGAGGGAGGCAGAGGTTGGTTCGTGCAGAGGGGGGTTAGGGGCACAGGCTCGGTGAGAAAGGGGGTTAGGGCATGGTGATGGCTGGGCATGTGATTGCCGGTGGGTTTGGGGGGAGAGAAGGAAAGGATAAAACCGGGGCGGGGAAGGAAGAAGAAAGCTCCATATATATTTTTTTATTTTTTTATTTTTTTGTTAAATGGGTTTTGGGTTTTGTTTTTGGGTTTGGGTTTTGGGTTTTGGGTAATTGGGTTTGAGTTTGGTGGGTTTTGGATTGGGCTTGAAGGGTTTTGGGCTAGACTTTGCATTTCACCCCTCCAACTTTTCATTTCTTCAATTGAGTCCTTTTTCTCATCTTCATTTCCAATCTTCTTCGTAAAATTTCCTTTTTGCCCTCCCTTTTTCTTTGAATGAAACTAACAAGTAAAATAAAGACAAACATATTAGTTAAAATAAAAATAAAAATAAAAATAAAAAATTCTACTAAAATTTTAGTTATGACAAGTGGACAAGGAAAACTATGAAATAACTCAGTAAGTAAAATATGGAGTGCCCTTAATTAAACTTATAGCATGCCAACAAGTATAATCACGAAAAACGGATACAAGTACGAAAACGAAATAGACGTCTCCTCTATAGGTCATGGCCAGTATTATAAACCTCCTACTGACAGGCTACAGAAATTACTAGTGTTTAACCCCTACTAGCAGGGTTACAAAAACGAACCGGTTCTATCAATAACATATCGACATGTGTCGACATGTGCTAGCATTTAACCCCCACTAGCAGGATTACAGAAACATGACCACATCGAAGACAAAATAGGCTGAAGTTAACAGAAAAACATAATTCACCAATTACTTTCAGGACAATCAATTAAATTCCAAGTAGGCATGCTCAATTTAATGAAAAGCATAAAAATCTCACTTCAAATCAGCCATGCTTACTTTTGTATAAAACGGATTTAGTCCCGCCACCACTTCAAAAACAAATCAAAACACGCTTTTAAAAACTGTACAAGCATTACCATAAATTTACTTACCTCAAATCGCATAAAACTGAGCACTCAATTCACGTACTAAAGTACCCCAAGAATCAAGAACCTAATCAAAATATCCAACAATTAATACCTCACTATCACAATTTCACAGTAAAATCATCATTAAGATCACCCCCTAATCACGGTGTTATTCCTATCAATCTCCACATTATCAAATATCTCCAAATTCGTTGTTATATCAAAAACTAATAATTTAAATCCCCGTTAATTGTTGACCCTCGGTGTGTGAACAATGTCTATGAACAGTGACCCCGACGTGAACAGTAATTCCGACTTCCAAAATTGGCAAAACCATAGCCTATTCTCACGGGATTTTCTCCAAAAAATATCACAGCAATCAGTTAACACTCAATCACATAAATCCCACTTGAATTAAGCTAAATCATGGTCCTAAAGCTACCGGAATTTCCCCCATTTTTCTGCAGATTTTCGGACACACACAGCCAGCAAACTATATGGATAATTTCAAGCTTAAATGGCTGTCACATACCAGAATTTTGCAAGCAAAGAACCGGACTGCAGGGAGAAGAAGACCGGCGGCAATTGCAGGGGGAAGCTCACGGAACTACCCAAAATTCAAGCAACCAAGAGAAATTAAAGCAAACCCAAGCCAATTAAAGCTAAAAGGAGGACAACCATGGCTGTTTCTTACCAGAAATTGCCCAGAATTCGCCCACAATCAAGAGCAGCCGGCGGACAGAGCAAGGCAGATCCGGATTTTCCAGCAGGGGGGGAAGGATTTGAAGGCTCCAATCTTGCTCTTGAGCAAGAAAAGAAGGATAAAATCAAGCTCTCTACCGGTTTCCTCAAGGGCTGGTGCCGGGTTCCCTTTTTTTTTTTTTTTCTCGGCTGCAGCAGGAAGAAGAAGAGCAGAATCGGGAAATGGCTGGGGAAGAAAAGAAGGAAAAAAGATAGTGGATCCTTATCCAAATTTTCCCTCTTTAAGTCCCTCAAGTTTCAGAATTTTGACTATTAAATCCTACAATAATATTTTCTCCAAAATAAATCCCTAACTTATATAATAATATTCCCGAAAATTTGGGATATTACATAACTGCTTATGGATACAATCAAAAACAACAAAATACTAACGATATTGTGTCTTATTATAGCCATAGTATCCGTTGCCATATATGATTCACGAATAACATGAACGACACAACCTCAACGTAAGGAATTTGCCATAGGAGGTTTTTGCAATCAAAATTCAACTTGAAGAAATGAGAATTGTCTCATGTTACATAACACATTATCAAATGTGTTTTGTAGGAATACATTTACAAAAAACAATGGAAACTAAATCAGCAAAAACCAATATTTAGCCTCTCACCTTATAATAAGACAGTTTTAGCCTTTTATCTTATAAAATTGGTAAGTTTTAGCCTCTCACCTTACAAAGTTGATAGCTTTTAACCTCTTACCTTATATTATGATATTTTTAACCCCTCACCGATATGAATTAAAGAAAATAGTCCTCACCTAACATCAAGTTATAACGTTCTGTTAGTTCTGTTAGTTAACTGTTAACATCTGTTAGCATTTCGTTATAAAAAACATGAAATTTAAATTCAATTGTATTTGTTAGTTTCATTAACGGAATGCTAACGGATGCTAACAGTCAACTAACAGAACTAACAGTCAACTAACAAAATTGACAGTTAACTAACAGAACTAACAGTCAACTAACAGAACTAACAGTCAACTAACAAAACTGACAGTCAACTAACAGAACTAACAAAACATTATAACCTAATGTTAAATAAGGGCTATTTTCTTCAATTCGTACAAATAAGGCACTAAAAGTGTCATAATATAAGATAAAGGGCTAAAACCTACCAATTTTGCAAGGTGAGGGGTTAAAACCTACCAACTTTGTAACATAAAAGGCTAAAAGTGTCATATTATAAGGTTATGGGCTAAAATCTACCAATTTTGTAAGGTGAGGGGCTAAAAGTTGGTTTTAGCCAACTAAATCAATTCCTCAAAAGTATATTGTAATGAAGTTCACCCACAATGAAACCAATGAAGCCTAACAATTAAACTTACAACAAAAGTTATGAAACCTATAGCAAAGCTCAAACAAAAGTACAGTTAAGTAGGTAGAATAGAATTAATAGCAAGTAAACTTTCTTTAAGATATCTCTTTATACTAATTCAAAATTTAAAAAAGCATTTCTTGTCAGTATCCAATCTGTCTTTCTCTGCAAAGTGCTGTTCTTGTTAAGTATCTTTTAGACCATATGCAAACTTCCTTCACCAATACAGAAATGCTCTTATCAATTCATAGTCACTAAAAAGTCAATGTAAAAAGCAGTAAAGTCAATAATGAATCATATTATCCTACATACATATACTTTATACTGTTGGATGATTTTGCATCTATACTTGTAAACAAATTCCCAATTCTAGCCACCTTTAACATATGTAATTATGTATTGCATTTTAAATGTTGCATTTTGTTGTCTCCATGATACCCACAAAGGAGAAGGAAATAAACAGAGGCAAGGTAAAATGGCAAATCCCATAGCCTTAGGTTTACGTGCATCCAAGAAAATTCAGTTACAAACTATTGATTAGAAGATAAGGAAAATTCTAAATAATCAGAACGTTTTCTGCTTAGGAAAACAGAGTTACTAACCAAAACCACAAGCATAAAGGAGTCAATGAGCAGTATCACCAGCAAGTATTATTTGATTGTAGCAACATACAAACTTTTCAGCAACTTCAGCATGCATCACCCATAACTTTATATCAATAACAATTATAATTGAGAGCTCTCTACCAACCAGTTTGATTTGTTAACTTCTTGCATGTCTACACAAATTTGCAATCTTTTGAGAGCAATCGTTATAAAAAATGGAGAAGTAACCTTATTACATACCAAATCTTACAATTAAATTTTTTTTTTAAAAGTCCATCCCATACATCAACTGTTAGGATAGTGTGAAAATCATTCAAGAACAGTTATAATTAACCAATTTGTCGTGCGCATGAGATAATAATTGTATAAGCAGAAAGCTAAAGCCTAAGCTTAATCATATCTCAAGGGTTAATCTTTAGGGATTTCTTCATGTTAAATTAATGATGCTACATAAGATGGCACTTTCATACCATGATAGCTTCATGATAGCTTCACCATTTCTTTACAAACCAGGTAACAAATTGATGAAGAAAGTAAAATAATTGCTGAAAAAAATGGAAAGCTGGAAGCATCAAAGCTAAAACCGATTAACCATTTTGCATGAAGTAATTTTGTAACATTAAAAAAGCTAAAAGCTAGACAGACCCTTTTACCACCAGCCATTGCCAGAAAAAACCCAAAATTACAGAGATGTCAAAGACGTATTTGAGCATTTTTTTTATAAACTAACCAGATTCAATAGGCAAAGCTCCTAATTTCCCATATAAACTCAATCAAGACTAATGAACTGAATCATACTAAAGAATACCTTTGTCTCTAATTTTGTTATGAACTGAATATTATAATGATACAACTAATATGCATTTAGAAGTATATTTAGATTCTAATAAATTAAAACAAAGGTGGTACGCAGATACAACTATTCATGTGGGTATCATCTAGCTAAACCAAAAAACACTAAACCTTTCTAAAATCTCAATTATCTTAGCAAATGATGCTATGCCCTGAAAGCTATAGGTCAAACCTTTGTCATGCTACTCTAGCCTACAAACCCAATACAGGTCAAGACTCTATGCTCGTTTCTATGAAATAAAGTCAGCATATGTTATAAGAAAGCTCAACTGAAACTAATCTCAAAAAAATAAAAATAAAAATAAAAATAAATACCTTGTATTTTAGGTCCTTGAGAGCATCAACCAATTTGGCACTACCAGCTAACTTGACATGAATTTCATTGGATTTAGCAGGATCATCCCATAGATCATAGACACAGATCATTTTCCTCTTATATGATTTGTCTAGCTTCTTCAAATTCCAGGGCAGTTGGTGCTAACATCTCTGCACAGAGAATTACATCTTCAATCTTTTTCAATGAAAACAAACCTAAACCATTTGAATTAACATATCCAATTTCAAGTGAGAAAGGATGATAAAGATGTAAGAGATTTGAAAAGATAAACAACGGCTGCAAAAGAATTTGTTAAAACTCGTAGCTTATTCTCAAGAACAATCATTTTGAAAACACAATATCTTAAAATAAATCACTAACTCAGCTTTGATTTGAGAACTCTGATCCTCTAGGCAAGTCTAAAGTCTCAACAATGGTAACTGAGAAATACATTACATTAAAAACACCAAATGTTCCTCAAGAATTAGAGAATTGCAATGCAGCAAATTTTAGTTTCTTTAAAACGTAGCATCCAAGGTGCTACAAAACTAAATGCCAACATTTAGACATCTCTCTAGTTTGCACTCTCATTTCTTCAGTAAAGATAATTTTTTGTGACATTAACTCAAATAGTTGATGCTTATTAGCATCTGAAATCCCAAATCAATTCAAAACTCAAACACCCATTTTGAACTATAATACCAAGAAAGCATGATAAACCCAAGTACATGAAAATGGAGAGAAAAAAAAAAAGGCAAAGAAGACAAACCAAGTGGGTTATACACCCTATTCTTGTCATCAGTAGAATGAGAAACTCGAACTGTCAAATGTAAAGATTAAGTCTTTGACTGAATTGAAGTAACCTACAGAATAATTTCTTGAATTATAATCTAAAGATAAAACCATAAACACAAAGAAAGTCTAATCTGTGAAATTAGAGACAAGAATTCTAAAACAAAGAATGGTACCTTCAGACATATCATTACTCAATATAATGTTGATTCCTTTGACACATTCATCATCTTCATCTGTAAATATACAGAGTTAATAAGACTGAAATGTTCTATAAATAAAAAGAAAATAAAAGAATAATAAAAATAGATAGGATTCCAAGCATATGGGATCTTTATCTTTTCCTCAAACCAAATGCCAAAAAGGAGATTGATTGTTGTAATTTCCCCACCATCACTTGTAATTTTGAGATTAAATTTCAATAATCCAAAAATCTTTGTAATTATGAATGCATAAAGAATCACAAAGTTGGTAAGAAAGCAAAAAAAAATTTTAAGAAGACATTTCAATACTTACCTGTTCGTCCAAAAGAAGCATTTCAATATTATCACCCAGTTTTGGTTAACGAAAATTCTTCTGCTTCCAAAGCCTAATTATTCTAACTTTTATCCTCCATTGCTCTTTAGAAGGATTAAGATTTTTAATAAAATCAAACATATTAGCCATTAAAATCTGTATGCCTTCTGTGTTACTAAAAAGAGATACTGGTATAACATTATATATGCATATAGAAGAGACCGTTCAAATGACCAATATTTATTAGATAGATTATGAAGAAGAATTGGGAAAATAAAATTGGCAGAATTTGAAATCAGCAAGTGAATGTAAATTTCCAATGCATTGGAAATATAAAACAAAAGTGACGCCTTAAGTGAGGCTTTTGATAACAGAATAGGCAAACCAATAGTTTTATTGATATGCAACAGACAAAAAATTTGGAAATATGGCAAACAATAAATAGTGAAATGCATTCCCCAAACAGAAAAAAGTAAGATAACCAAGGGAGATACACGGGCATTGTTTAGATGTACCAAAAGAAAAGATGAGTTGAACAAATCAACATTTTACTGAAGTTAAAACAACAACACATAACATAAATCCAGAGAACAGCAAAACCAACCTTACAATAGAAGCTGGGTAAGAAATCAATAAAATGCAATAAATCGAAATATATTAAGGGGGAAAAAAAGAGCAAAACTTACCTAGATGAGATCAAACTCAATTTGGGCTTGATCGACCTTGAAAAAGTTGGCGTCTCAGGCCTTGAG